AGTTCACTGCAATAATAATTCTCCATATTTTGTAGTGACACCTTTGACCTATACAGAGGATGAGTCTAACTACTGCCGGTGTTATATTCTTACTGTTATTTTTCACTTATTTCTCATTCTTTTTAATCTCCACTTCTTTCTTTTTAACAGATAGTATCTGAAAGATTAAGGGAAAATTTAGAGGACATGAGGAAGGAAACAATTTGACTAGATGGGTCAGATTAGTATTTGTGATTAGCAATCTCAAATGTGATGATGTAGTTTTCTGAAAGAATTTATAGTTTTTCTTTCATTTCTCTAATTTTCTTAGTTCCTTATGTCTCAGAAATAAAAACCCATTTGTCATCTTTCTCTTATTGATCATCAAAGATCTGAGATATTTCTTTATGTAAGCCATCAGAATTTTTCATTGCTTTTAGTCCCTCAGACATCACATAATTCTGGAACTCGATCTGTAATAGCCTGACAGCATCAGTGTCACCCAAACAGATACAATGCTGCCCAATAACCACTCAGGTTGAGAAGTTGTGCACTTTAGTTTCACCAGTGTTATTTCTGCCTTAGCAAGAGAAACACACAGAAAAGTGGCCTGTTTGGGCTGCCATTTACTTTGGAATAATTTAAGAAACCTTTTAAGCAGACTTGCACCTTTAGGGAATATTGCAGATTTTTCCTTTCCAAAATTAAAATAAACTTTTACGGGAGCAAATTAGTGGCAGAAGTACAAATTATTTTTAAACAAAATCAACTTCATTTGAGAGAGGCCTTTAAGGGGTGTGTGGATCCCTCTGAAGCAACGTTTGCAGTTTTCTGTCCCTCCTGTATGATGGAGGCAGCTGCCATCTCGGACAGTTATGTCCTTGGCGACATGATGGAGAGAAACTCGAGCGAGCCACTCCATGACTTTTCCCTCTTGCCACACTCATTAGCTTTGAGTAGTACCAGTTGACTTTATGGCTGCTCAGTCCTACAGAGATAATTTAACATCTGTTTTCAGAGATTATGAATGATTTTTTTTCTAGACTAATACAAAACTTTTCTTTCTTGACTCTCCACGTGTACCACAGGGACAACAGGAGAAGTATCTGAGACTGTGGAACTCAGAAGCATGACCCTGTGGTTACAGGGATGTCCTCTGAAATTTTGGAATACTTACTGAACATGGGGAATTCTGGCAAAAATTTGCTTCAGTCTGATCTCATCTGTCTCTTCTGGGATAGGAAAATATTAGGAAAAATATTGCATATGTTTACTGTGCCCCTATCCTCTTCTCTCCACAGCCTCTCATCATGACCATTGCTGGATGGGTTAGGTGGACCACTGGCTTGATTCCACTTTGCTGTTTGCATGTTATGGTGTTCTGGTTGCTGGCTTCTAAGGCAATGTGTGCATTTTTCAATTTGACATTCACATTTTATTTATAACTTTATGATTATTCCTATGGTTTTTGCCATACTTTTCTGTTTATCTTTTTGATTTACTGTATCTTTCCATATTTCAGATATTGTGTGTCTGTGTCAAAAAGTGGTTTGCAGCAGTTATTCTTTGTTCCCCTCAGGCAGCACAGTTCTGAGGAACTCTTTTCTAAATAACTTTAAAATGTACTGTATGGGAGAACAAGTTTTCACAAAACGGGAATCATAACTGCATATGTAACACCTCTAGGAAGAATATGATTCTCCAGGAGTTAATTTTACAATACTTCCAAGTTACAATACTCATCAAACAATAATATTTTGCACATCTAAACTAAAATATTTGAGGATAAATCCTATGGATTCAAGTGCTCCTTGAGAAGTTATTACTATGCTGAAAAATCAAATGAATCCCACTGAAGACTATGGCTTAATTTAAGTATTAAATTTACATGACTTTAATCCGTTTATTTAAATCATTAATGAAAATGAGATCAGAGATAAAATGTACAGGTCATTGTTGTGGGGTTTTTTGTTTGTGTGGTTTGGGTTTTTTTATTTCTGGAGTTACAGAACACATCCACAGCTCTCGGTTTTCAGTTAATGAGAATCCAGATGCATTCTAAACCTTGGCCCTAGACAGACTTATCAGTATCATTTTTCCAATGAGCCAACACATAACATTTTCCTTTAAGAGAATGTGATCTTAAATGTTTTATTAAATCTATTTTGAAATCATGTCAGAGTCATTAATAAACTATCATTTGATGATTAGTTTTCCCACTTGTAAACTTTAGTTATTAAAAATGATATTCAGCTAAATTTACAATATATGTTAATGTTACCTTCATTTTATTACTAAAAGACAGTACATCAGATCCAAATAAAAGGTACTGATACTCCAGACAGGATTATACTGGTGGTGGTTGTATTAAAAAAACACAAAAAACTAAATTGTTGAACTACACTCAATTCCAGAGCATCTTTAGAATCCAGAACACCAAGAAAAGTGGTACTGATTCCAACACTAGCTTCTGTACAGAGTGTAAAACAACAACAAAAAAATCTTGGAAAATCAAATCAGT